CTGCAAAGCATTCTATCCACCCATAACCAGCATCGCCACTTTTTTTGACCATTTCGTTGAACAGCAAGGTTGGATCAAATGTCACGGACCACTGGGTAAGTAAGAATTCAACCAATCTAACAACACACCAGACATGCATAGGCAGTGAAAAGGCCTTTGCACCTTTTGGTCACCTGCTTGGCACAAATCCACACGAAAATCACACATGAACTGCCTGCTTATCTGGTACAGGAAGTCTTCATATAATATGCAAAACCCATCACTTGTGAAAATTTCCTTTGTGGAACCGGTTCCATTTATATAGATCAACTCGGTTCTTTCCCCTTTGGACTCTTCGAGTCCTTCGTTGGAGCCCACGGTGATGCCATCGCGCAAGGGTAAGCGCCGCATGTAGTTGAAGGGATACAAGGTGATGATCTACGCAGCACAGAAGGGAAAAAGAACAGGTCTCGATCTTTTCAAGAAATCATAGGATAAGAAACATGTTCGATATAAATTCACACAATTCTATTTTTGATCTGACAATAAAAGACTAGGCCGAGAAAAGAGCTGCCTCAAGTAGCTAACATGCAAGGCGTAAGTAAGGTAGTAGTTTAAGGGAGCATGTTTCCTTGAAGATGCCCTCACATGATTGATTTGCTTCCTTTGGGGAAACTTCAGCTTCAAAAATAAGTCAATTGCATTTGTGCCACTGCCATGTTAACATGCTCCTAATGTTTCCACTCTGAGCATCTTGGCCTTGCCCTCCCACAGCTCAATCTCCAGTGTGGGCGCATCAGCGTTGCGGCAATCCAAGAGCTCCCCAGCATTGGTTTGCAATCGCTTTTCGAACTCCTCTGGAAAAGAACAGGAAGGCAGGGATGGCAAAGGGCCATGGCAAAGGGCCATGGCAAAGGGCCTGTGAAGCATGGGTGAATTGTATCGACCCCCCAGAATCTGTTGAACCTATTGAACCTGTTGCCTGTTGGTTCATCCAGCTACAAGAATGTTGGCAATGCCTGTTCATCTGAAGTCTCCAGGGCACGATATCAACTTGCTGCTTGCTGCAGTTTGTCTTGATTTCGTGAAAGTTCTTCTCATTGAGTCCTTGACCTCTTTCAGTACACTTGGCACAAATAAATCATCGGCACCTTACTGTACACGTCTCAGAGAACGGGTACACTTATCTGCAACTACTCCGCCGAAGGAGCATCCTAGTGGCCACGGCAGTTTTCTTTCTTTTCTCGGATTTACCAACCTAATAGCAATGGCCTCCAACCTAAGAGCGATGGCCTCCAACCTAATAGCTTCTAGTTACTAGAAAGCTTCAAAGACATGCTAGTAGTCATCAAAGACATACTAGGAAGCTTTATTGTTACTAGTAGCGATGGCCTCATGAAAGCTTAGCTCAAGTGCACTTAACCACTGTGCCCTCTTCTCTCCCTCTTCTCTCTCCCTCTCTTCTCCTTGTCGTAGGGCGAGGGTACGCCCAAGTGCGAGGTGCCTGTGTCCAAGACTCCACGGCACGTGCCATCCGCGCAGGCCTCAACCCTCAGCGACGACCGCGATCACCTACTTGAAATCTCACCATCCGTTCTTGTTTCTAATAGCTACTTGCTCCTGGTAGTAAGGCCAGGAGCCCCTAGTAGCGTCCTTGCTCCTAGTAGTGATGCCAGGAGCCCCTTGTAGCTTCTTGTTCCTAATGCATCAAATGTTTTGCAATGATTCTAACATCAAATCTCCTTAGTATCGTTAGAATCGCTGCAAACACAGGATCAGAACATGTTTTTGAAACCAAAGCAACGTGTCCAACGTGTCCGACGTGTCCAAAGACATGTAGGTTATGGTGTAGGTTGCTGAGGAACGCTCTCCATGTTCAGCACAGCACAAGTTCACATGCAACGAGCAAAATGAGCAAGATAGATTTTGTGAATTCAACCAGCATCTTTTGTGGTCACCTGAAAGCATACCTGGAGCCGTGTGAAGCGTCAAGACACACTTCTCCAGCAATGCGAATGGCTCGAATACCAACTTGCCAGTAGCCAAGCTCCTGGTGTGTCGATTGTCAAGTCACTCTTCGTGAGGCTCCATGTGTTGTGTTTGTTAAAGCAACTGCTCACATTGTCCATGATTCTCCCATTTGCACAAGTAATTTGCACAGATTGCAAGTAAGGAGACGCTGGACATGGCTCCACCACCTTTCCTATTTTGGTTGAGCTTTGCCCATCAGATACAGCATGGACGTCTTACAATGAGGCCATCGCCAATAGGTTGGAGGCCATTGCTACTAGGAACAAGGCCGCTACTAGTAGGTAGTTCCTGGCCTTACTACTAGGAGCAAGAAGCTACTAGGAGCAATGGGCATTGCTACGAACGGAACGATCGGATGCTACGAAAGTAGCCTCGGTGTTTGGTCCTCCATGGCCACGTGAGACCAACTGATGGGCTCCAGCACTCCTTAGGGACACGTTCGACCTGTCAGATCACGATGGATCGCTGGTACAACATATCAATAATGTTGTTTTTTTTGTTCTACGTTTGATTCTATTTCTTGTTTCTAACAAACATTGTTCCTAGTAGTACGGCCAGGAGCCCCTAGTAGCGTCCTGTATCTCTATGGTACCAGAAAAAGTTGGTTCTAAGTGGGGTTCAGTTACGACATGGTTCTAGAAGACATCGTTCCTAGTTGGTCGCGGGTTGGTATGAGTAATTATGTATCAGCATGGAGAGAATCCCTGACCACTTGACTGTGGTATATCTTTCTCTTCCGGTGGTCTTTCGGGGGGCCTCCCTGTTTCACTACACACCCGTAGACTCATACTGTGCTTATTGACAGCTCTGATTGGATCGATGTTGACCCTGCAAACATCTTAAGCCATGCCATCTGTTAACATCTGATAACTAGCTTTAACCAAAGTACCATGGGTCCATTCGACTCATCAACACTTGGAAGGAGGAAAAGGCTCCAAATCATTAGTTTCCGAAAAGATCTACGAACCAAATCATTAGTGCAAGGAAGCTCCTCCCGCCCTGAGGTGGGG